CCCCCGGTGTCCCGGGAGGGTCCCCCACCTCCGGCGGTCACCCCTCCTGCCCGGGTCCTTCTCAGTCTCTCCTAGCAGCCGCTCTCTCGCCGCTGCCCGCCCAGGGGAGGTGGTGGCGTTGGGGGGGTCCCTGGGGAAGCCCCTGCCCTCCGGGGCACCGCCGGCGTTCTCCGGTTGCCCGGCCCGGCCCGTGACAGGCGGCGGGGAGCGATCCTCCTCCGGGGCTGAGGAGGGAACCAGCCTGTTTGGGGGAAAATCCTGGGAGTCCTGCTGTTTGACGTGAGGAGGCGGCCTTCGAGGCTCCTAAAAAAACCCCAAATCGCCTTGGCTTATATATATGCTTTTTCTAATTATAATTTTTTTTTATGTTCTTGGTGTGCTTCTGCACGCACTAACTGGAAGCTTCTTGCGTTCTGTAGTTGGCTGAACTGAAGCAGGAGTGTCTGGCTCGCGGCCTGGAAGCAAAAGGCAACAAGCAGGATCTGATCAACAGGCTCCAGGCTTACCTGGAGGAGCACGGTGGGTGCCTCGTTGAGCGGGGCGGCTTGTTAGCGGGCTTCTTCCCAAAGCCCTTACGAGCTGGGGGTTGCTCTGGGGTTATCGGTGGTGAGAGATCTCCTGGGGTTCGAGCTTTGTTTGCGTGGAACGCCAGGGTGAAGGAGAAGAGCCCTGGTCTGAGTGCTTTGCTGTAACTGCCTTTGCTTCCCACTTTCCTGAGTAAAATCCTCATAGTAGGCTTTATCTGAGAAGCCAGAGATATTACTGAAGTAATTTGATACTGCAATTTCTCTGTTGTTTTGTCCTCCAGCTGAAGAAGAAGCAAATGAAGAAGATGTCCTGGGAGAAGAAATAGAGGTAAGTCTTCTGCTGGGCAGATCGTCCTGCCGATGGCCTGTACAGGGGCTTCTGGTTTGTCTGGGAGCACGCGATCTCCCACAGGCTGCGTTCCGGTTCTGTGCCTGAGGAATGCAGCAATACCTGAGGCTGTGTCTATTTTAAAGCACCATTGTCATTCCTTGTTGGGTCTAAACCCGCTATTTTTTATGCCAAAGGCTCTATGTTGCTCTATTAGCAGGCAGAGTGTGTGGTGGGGGGTTCTGCCAGAGAGTGTGTAATCTTGGTGTGTGGCTGCCAGTTCAGAGCGGGGTCATTCTGTCCGTATTCAGCAGGATTCACACCTCATTGCCCTGTGGTTTTTGTCATGAACTGAACAGCAAATGCGATTGGAGCGTGGTGTGCTTTTAAAGAAAGTACATGTAAGAAAAAGTTGCCCAGCTGGTGCCCTGACCATGCCGGGCCCGGGCTGGGCTGGGCAGCCCATGGGAGCAAGCCTTAAAGCAGGAGAATTTGTTCCGAGGGAGGTGAGGAGATCTGACCTGGGAAAGTGCTTTCCACTTAAAACACCAGCGATAACCGATTCTTCCAACTGTCAGGCTCTTTGCTGCTTGGCAAGCCCATGCGCTGCAGGGGCAGGTGGAGGATATGGAAGATTTCTCCCCAGTTTCACAAAAAGTATTTGGCGAGAAGTGAGATGGGTCTTACCAGATTGGTGCTGGGCATTGTGCGTGAGCGCTGTGTAGTTTCGATGTTGTTTGCTGGCTCCACGTGCGGGCTGGAGACTGTCTCGCTCGAGTTATTTCTGAAGCCTTGTGAAGCCCAGACCTGGTAAGAGTTTAGACTTTGGGAAAACAAAACAAGAGTCTGTGTCTGTAACAGCTAGTGTTCAAACCCTGCCAGACTGAGGCTGTGAGCGCGTAATATTACTTCTTGCTGCAAACCTTGCCTTAGTGGGCAGAGTTAAACAAATTGTACAGAAATCTTTGGGTATGTGCAGGCTGAATTATAGGTGTGTGCCTTTTAAACCAGTGAGAACCCAAAAGACTTGACAGTGTCCCTGCTGTGGTGTTTCTCTCTTGCTCAGCTGGCCGGAGTATTTATTATCTGACCTCCTCTCAACTCCTTGACTTGCAGGAAGAAGAGCCGAAGCCGGTAGAGCCACCCGTCAAAGTAGAAGAGCCTCCTGTAAAATCGCCTGATGTGTAACTATCCTTTATGAGTAGAATGAAGCAAACCCGTGGGGTGTGAGGGCTGGCAGCACAGCCCCGTTTTGGAGTTTGGGACGAAAGGGGGTTGCGGCTCGTGCGCGTTAGAGCAGAATTGTGGCCCTTGCCTGAGCCCTGTGTGATAACGTGGTGGTCTGTCTGTCTGTCTGTCTATCTGTGGGGCTGCTCTCCCCTCCGTGGCTCACAGGACGAAGTGAGCCCGAAGTGAGCCCCGGGCTTGCGGCCGGCGGGCCCGAGGTGGCTGTGTGGGCAGGAGGGGGCGTCCTGTGCCTGCCAAGCCGCGCCGGCAAGCGCCAGGTCCCAGGCAGAATTGCTTCCTGTGAAAGTGCCATTAAACCATTACTACCTTTCAGGGCATAAAATGAGAAACCTGTCCGGGAATCTGGAACAAAAGCAGTGCATTTTTCTAAATGGGAGACCTTAATGAGGCTGGCTGTGACCCACTGTTTTATGGGAGTTGTTTGGAGGAGGAGGATGCTATTTCATTTAGCCTGGGAACTTCCGAACTTTGTCTCTTCTTCTTTTGTTTTCCCCCTCGAGCCTGAGCTCTGTTTTCGGAGCATAAACTTTGGAGCACGCCCACTCCATTATATTTTCGTTCAGTCTTTTTACTGGTCCTGCTGTTGTCAGCTGCACATTGTTCAGGAAGTGTGTGTTTGAAATGGAGCCTGGGCTCGGGGTGCTGGGGCTGACCTGGGGAAAGTTGCCTGCGGCTGTCCCATGAACTAGAACAGAACAATCCTTTGTATTTGTGGGCCATAAAGGAATAAAGCTCTTTGGGGCTTGCAGTCGAGGCTTTGGGCTTCTAACAAGAGCTGAATGTTACTGTTAAGAGCCTTAAGATGGGCAGGGGGTTATTCTTGGGTGTGTAGGTCTGCGGCCTCTTGCTGTAATATCTCCCCAGCATTTTGAGATGCATCTGCAGCACCCTACTAAAATCACAGGATGTTTCTCTTGCCTTAAATGGAGTTATTCCTCCAAGCCTGTGTAGAGAATGGGTGAGAGTGTGGCTGGTTCTTGTGTCTTTTTTCAGCTTGCTTGTCATTGTTGCCAAAGGAATTTGGGAGTGCTCAAAGCACTAGTTAGGCTCACAGGAGAACCTGCGGCTGCACCTTCACTGGGCCGTGTGTTTCCTGCCCCTAATATACCCTAGACTTTGGTTAAAAGTTTCACAGGCTTCATACTTCACTTAGCATCGATATCTGGCTCTAAACTTGCCCTCATAAGGGGGATGCTGGCTTGTGGCTGTTCTTGTGTTAAAAACAGGCCGTCAGTTAAGATGGTGGTGGTGTTGCCAGAGACTAGTGGCTGGGAGGAGAACCCCGATACCTCTGCTACTGGGGCATGCTTGTGAAACTAATGAGAGCTGTTCTGACTGATTTCTCTCTTTCCCACACACTTCTAGGATTACGGAAAAGAAGGTAGTGAAAATAACATCAGAAATATCACAGATGGAGGTAAGGTTCCTTCTGCTACTTCATCCTCCGAGGTGTCGGTTTCCGTATTCACTTCATTCAAAGTCTCTTTTGTGTGTTGCTGAGATAGTGTCAGTGTTTCCATTGTAAACCTGCTTTATTTTTCCTTGATTTTATATTAATGACTGGTCGCTGGCGGTGGAGTGACCTGGCAGGGTGGTGACCTCGTGACACATTTCATTTTGATGCTAGATCTTAAGGAATGTTTCTCTCAATTGTCTGTTAACGCCTCTTTCCTTGCTGCTCACTGCCGTTGCTTTCTGCCACCAACCACCATTGACCCAACCTCAATATTTCCAACTTAGCAGCGACAAGCTGAGTCATTCCTGGGGTGTCGTTCCATTGCAGACAAAGATGGACTTTGCCCCGTAGCATCCTCTGCTCTGGATCATAAAGACTGATAGACTTGAACCACCTCTGTTATGATTCTGGTGTATAAATTGTGTTTCCTGCTATTGCGAATGTGAAAAGTTCCGCTGCGGAGTTCACCAGGCCGTGGCACATCCCTGTCCCTCGTGACTTGCTGCAAGCCCGATTGCTTCAGACACGTAAAACTACGAAGCCTTGTTGAGGATATGCTTCAGGGAGTAATCAGTTGGGGAGGAACTGATATGAGCTAACAGATCATCTCATCTTTATCTTCTTTAACTTTGCCGCTTGCATTTGCTGGGCTTATTTAAAACAAACACACTTAGAAGCTGCCAATTCCTCTGGGAAAACGTTGTGAAACTTTGGGTTTCAGGAATCTGATTGTGGTTCTCTAATCCCCCCTCTTATTTTTTTACTCGTGTTCCATAAGAAAGAAATCACTATGAAAACATGATTCTTGTCTCCCTGCTGTTCACCACTACTTTAGAGATCTAATCTTCTGTTTGGGACACGATCATTTCCACAGCAACCAGGGTGATGTCGCAAGCAGAGGATTATGACCTCAGTGAGGGAGTTATGAGGAGAAACATAGTACCTGATGTGAGCTGGAACTGTTGCTGAAGGAGCAATGTCCCCCATGATGTGGGGGTGCCCTTGGCTGTAGCTGGTTAAAGAGCTCATTAAGCAAACTTGCTGAAGTTATACTCTTGCCCTTTGTTTTTCTCCAAATTCTGACAAACCTGTTCCCAGGAAATCCACTTTTTTTTTTTTGACTGAGAGTGAATCAGGTCTCAGCAAAATTATGTTGTAGATGGTTTTTGAAGATAGGAATTATTTTCCCATACAATGCATAATTGAACACTGGAGTCTGTTAATGTGGGCTGTTACAGATGCTAGAAATGCAGATGAGTTCAAAAAACAAGGAGACAAATTCCTAGGAAGGGCGACAACCATCAGGGATAAACGAATGCAAATGTGAGCACAGCCTGAAATTCAGTCAGTCGTTTGCTGTGGATTACTTGAGTCTGGGAGGGTGTAAAGGAGGCAGACTACCTGTCTGACTGTAATAGTCACCTTTGGGGGGGTACTGGGGTAGTGGAACCTTTGCTCTGATCTGGCATGGCTTGGCTGTAGTTGAGAGTCCTTTCAGAAGCTGCCTCTTCCGGTATTTCTTTTGATATTCTTCAGTGTCAGAAAGAATAAGGAAATATGCTTTGACCCGAGTGGTACATTTTTTCTGTCTTTATTGTTTCTACTTAGTTGAGTAAAAGTTCCTCAGTACTGACACCATTAGGAGTGGTGTTCCTAATCCATCTTTTCTAAACATTTATGTTTTGATGCACATGTTTATTACGCTCCTCACTGTGCTTTTGGCTAAAGTAAATGTTTCCATTAAAATAATATCTGTTTCTCTAACCTTTAAAACACCAAACACGTTTTTGGGCCCTTGTGTAATAATAAAATGTTAAATATTTCCCTTAAGCTTTTAAGGGATTTAACACTCGTAGGTGCAAACGCTTGCGCTTCTGATGTTTCCAAGCTTTTCCGTGCCCAGGGCAGTGTGCTCCAAGCCAGGCGAGCCTTGCCTGCAGCAAGGGCAGCAGGCCGAGTCCTTTCTACGTAGCTAAACTTCGTGTTGAATTGCACTGCTAATGGCAAACTCTGTTTGCAAGGCTGAGCCAACTTCATGAATAGTGTCGGCCTCTTGTGAAAAGGCTTGTGCCAAATAAATAAGTTCCCTGAAAACAAACACCCCCCCATCCCCTTTTCTAGCATATTTCTTTGGCCTTTTGCTTAGGGGGGAAGAAAAGGAAATCTTGTTTGCCTCTCTTCTTGCAAATCAGCCGAAGCCGGTTGTGCCTACTGCTTGCTTCCTGCCTCCAGGAGGGAAGTCAGGGCAGTTCCCTTTGTAGTCCCTGCCAGGAGCACTGCTCCTTTCCCTCTGGCACAAGGGCTTCCCTGGGCGAGGTGTGCGGCACGCCAGCCTCCAGCACAGTTGCAGCCTTGTATTATCTTAAAATAGTCGCCTGTCTCTGTCAGCTCCCTGGTCCCATTCTCTTTTTGCACGTCTCCTTTCCTAGGAACGCTCTCTGAGCAGCAGAGTAATGGCATACCTTTTTTATGAGTTTTTTTTATTAGGCCTGTGTTTATCAGAACCATGAGAGCACCTTTTGGTCAAGCGTATGTCCTGGAGGCTGCGGGGTGGCTTCTTGGATGGCACAAGCCAAGGGAAGGTGCCTGCAGCAGCTCTCCCTTTACCTGCGGGTACAGCAGGGTGCTTTTCCCCTTTCCAGGCTGCGTGCTGCTGGTCTGGCAGGGCGCATTGGAGCGTTAGGCCACCATATGTTGAGTTTGTGTGCCTCTCTCTGTCTGCAGAACCTCCTTTCTGTACCCTTCAAATTTTTGCTTTTCCTCAGTTGGTTCCTTTCTCTCCCTCCTCCAGCGAATGCAGAAGAGGGCTGAACGCTTCAATGTGCCTGTGAGCCTGGAGAGCAAGAAGGCAGCGCGGGCGGCTCGGTGAGTCTACACTTGGAGCCTTCTCCCCTCTTCTTGCCTGAGAGAAGACCTCTCTGGACATGTCTGCCAGTGGCAGGTTGTGTTATTGTGAGGTGAACCTGGCTCTGTGCTGTGCTTGGGTGATGGGACAGCAACGCTGGGGAGGAGTCTGAAAAATGAGGTGGAGGTTGCCTCCAGCCTGAACAAACGGTGGACAGGTTTACTGGAGGGTTTGCAGACATGTGCTGTGTTACACCTGCAGGGAGGTGGTGCTCCTCATGAGGCAGAAGAGCCCCGTGCTGAATTTGGGCTGTGTCTGATTGTGGAGTGCTTGATGCATGCTTTACTGGTTGCTTGGGCTGAAATACTGGTGAAATTTGTGGCAATTCTCACAGTTATTCTGGAAAGACAGGGCAGTGAAAGGGGAAAAAGGTGAACTGCTGGTGATACAACTAGCTTTCTGGACTTTGAGGTTGGTTTTATGAAGAAAGTGGGGAATTGCTGTACTCAGAGTAAGCACAGGAGCTGCTGCAGTAATTACAGTAGCCAATAATAGCGTGTTCCAGTTAATCTTGCCCCCAAACCAGTTTTACTCAAGTACACTCATGAAAAGTATTTGAAGGAAAAGTTCACACATAAGACTTGACATGTCAGATATTGGCTGACCTTATCTTTGCCCGAGTCTCTGACTAAGCTCTGTTTACCTTCGGCAGGTTTGGTTTGGCCACAGTTTCGACTAAAGGTGAGGAGGTGAAGCAGAACCAATCCATGGAGTGACCTTGCTGCAAACACTTAATTACTCCTGGGAATAAAAATCCTGGTGGGACTACCTTTTGTTTTCACTTCTGTCCCTTTTCCTGACCATGCCCAGGAGCTCTGAGTGGGAATTGTAGAATCGGGAAGAAAAGGACACGTGTTGTTCCCTTGGTAGTTCAGACACTTTTCCCAGTATCTATTTTTTCTAAGCAGAGCTGGAAGAGAGTAGCCAGAGTTTCCTGTGGTATCCTTAAACAGAGTGCCAGACATTGTTTGGATTCATAAAATGCCAGGTTCAGTTGCCAAAGCTGTCTTAGCGAGGTGGGATGGCAGCAGTTTTGCAGGTGGAAAAGCTGATTTGAAGGTGAAAAAGAAATTGAGAGACTCATTCTGTAGTGAGCAGAGATGGAACCTGGGAAAAATGGGACAGCAGTTCTTCACTAGTCTATGGTGGGATGGGTGCAGGACTGCTTCAGGCAGTGCTATGACTTTACTGCACCTCCTTTTAGATAAGATGCTGCTCCTGATGTTTGTTCTCTTAACTGGGTTTTCTTTTTCTTGCCTCCTCATTTCAGGCCTCTCTGCAGACAGCAAGCCCACGGTAAGACATGCTTCTTGTTCTTGAGTTACTGCTGGTCAGGCCCTTAACACATGTTGTAATTTGTAGAAGGAGGTTCCTGTCTGCAGTGGTAAACTATCAAAATGGTCCAGGAACAACATATGTGGAGTGAGAGTTAATGATGTAGCCCACCTGGATGTTATGCTGGCACTGAACTTGATGGGTTCACATCCCTGTGGCTGCCTCTATGAAAGTTTTCTCAGATGAGCTGATTTTAGAATGAAATGGTGAAAGGAACAAAGATGGATATTTGGGTTTTTTTTTCATATGCCTGACTTTCATTCTCTGTTTTTGTTTGAATTGCTTGAATTATGCCTGGGGAATGGAAATAACGAATGACCTGTAGTAAATTACTCTGCTTTTAATGGCTGATGCTGCTTTGCCCATCTGAATTCCAGGTCTAAGTAGGAGGCACCAATGTGTGCAGGGCTGAGAGCTCTGTCAGATTGGGCAGCTGGTGCAGTATTTGCCTGCTCAGTTGAGGATGAGTGGAACAGAGTTAAGCCATGATCTGTCACCAGGCAAGGTTCTAGGTTTTTCTCTGGTGCCAGGGGCATAAAAGATCTTGCATGAGCATCTGCGAGGCGGAATAGCACCGGGGTTCCCTCTGCAGAACTACGTACTATGGAAGGCTTGTCCCTGAAGGTCTGCGTTCGTTAGGGATAAGTGCCGTAATGGTGGCTGATGCCTCTCAGTGAAACCAGTCAGGCTGGGTGATGTGTTGGGAAGCTGCTCGGTCTGGGGACCTGATTAGATGTGACACAATAGTTTTGGAAGGGTGAGGGTACAGCAATGGCTTCTTAAACCTGTGGCAGCCAGATAGCAGTGATAACTTTTAGGAGTACTGGCAAGTTTGCCTACGAGGCTGTTTCTTTTGTTTGTGTTGACCAGACTGCTACAGCAAAGGTACCAGGTACAGCTGGCTCACAGTAACAGTCTGAAACCACCACTCCTTCAGGAGGGGGAACAGCACCTGGGGTCTTTATCCTTTGGTTGGTTTGAGGAAGCGAAGGGGCAGACTGGCAGTTTCTGGCAGCTTCGTTTGGGATGCTGGTTCTGTCTTGCAGCCCTTGGTGCTGGCAGGAGCTGTTGCTGCTGGATGGCAGTGCAGCACAGTGCCCAGAGGTGTTTTCCCTAGGGCTGAGCACTGTGCACAAGTCTGTTCCGGGAGGCAGCCTTATCTCTATCCCTGCAACTTGAGTGCTGGTGACTTTTAAAAAAAAAAAATAAATTGTTTCCTATGTCTTTGTAGGTAAACATGGATAAATTAAAGGAAAGGGCTCAAAGATTTGGGTTGAATGTCTCCTCGCTCTCCAAGAAGGTAAGGTGCCTTGGCCTCCAGGACGCTCTTTGCACCTCCAGATTAGCCTGGTGCTCCAGCTCGTAGTGTGCCGTGACCGTTCAAAGCCTTTGTGCTGCTTGAGGTTTTACATCTTGTTATTAGTGCAGCGGCATGGGCCCCGGACCCCGGGGGAGTCTTGTCAACACTGTTTCCTTCATCTTTCCTTCTGTTTGTTTTTGTGTGTGTGACTCTTGATGTGGTTTTGAGAGAGTTACAACTGCTGAATGCAGGTGTTGCATTTTAAGATTGTTCATCCAAATTTTAACATGGGCAGAGACACCGTTTAGCAGGCTGTGTAATTGGTTTGTTTTCAGGCATTTGACTCGCGCTGTGTAAGTGCACATTTGTGATTGGGGTAGGAGCCAAGTCTGTAAAGACCAAGGTAATGAGCTCTCTGAAGAGAAGGCGTCCAGAGCTCCCTGGTAGGAAATAACTCTTTGAAGTACAAATGAGATGAGCTTTGTAGGGGGATGGATTTGGTCCTAAAGCTATTTATTTTTTCCAGGGGAGAAATATACACAAGCTTCTGAGCGTAACCCCTTTTCTGGTCCTCATACCTAGCAACTGATTTAGCTCTGCCTTTGCATGCTGGAGCTGACTGCGGGGTTCTGTTGGTGGGGCAGGAGATGGAGCCACGCTCTTGTTTCCAGCTGTAGGGGTGGGCTGTGCTGAAGGGTGCTGAATATGCTGGGGGGGCCTGGAGGTAAAAGTGTGCTGGAGAATGGTGTGCTTACCGGTGTGACAACCCCTTGCCTAAATGTGTTCTGGAGCAAATGGGGGAGAAGATGAATTTAGCATGTTTGGGGAAAACAGAAGAAAGGATAAATATATACTCTGAGATTAATACAACATCCTGTGCACTTCCCAAACAAAAATAGCCTTTTCCTCTTCTGGGCTGTAACGAACCTCGTGCTGCAGCACTGTTCAGAAATAGTGGCGAGTGAAAAAGAATTGTCCAGCTGTAACAGCTGGATAATGTTGGCATGGAGACCTCTCTTCTCGATGTGGAAAAGGGTGAGAGCCAGGGGAGCTTCATCTTCTCTCCGTCCCTGTGAAACAAGCCCCTCTCCTCCTCGGGGGGGATGGATTTGACCTTTTTTGCTGCCTGTTTCTCCATGTACGAGTGTTCTGCTTTATTCCACTGGCCCTGGGAATTCACTGATGTAGAAAATATCTGGCATTGGAGGTCGCTGTTCCCCCCCCTTCCCTCTCTTGTCCCTTTGGGGGTGGGGGAAGGAGGCCAGTGCATTAAAGCTGGGATATGTGGAGCTCAGGGTGAGAGGCTGCTCAAACATCATTAACCCTGTCACTAGGAGCTCCCATTTTTCAGGAGGAGTATATGCCTTGTCGGTGTTTATGGCCGTGGCCTTCCCTGGGTAGGATTGTGTGGATGCAGCTTAATAAAGCCAGGGCTTATGGAAGGGAGTGGGCTTCGTGGGTTGTGCCGTGGTGCCTATACGTCGCAAAAACCTGAAACCACCAAAGTGCGAGGCCTGAGCTCCCCAAGCCGTTCACCAGCAAATGCAGCTTGCTGTATACTAATGAACTGCTCCCTGTTGTACAGATGGAGACCTACCAGTGGGGAAAATGACTTGCCCAAGGTCAGGAGTCGGTGGCAGGGCTGGCTCTCGCCTCCAGATTGCCCAACACTGGGCTTTGTGTCCCCCGCGAGCTCTGGCCGCACGCTCTGCAGAGCGGTGTCCAGCGGCAGGGCTTGCCTCGCTGCGCCGTGTCTCTCTTTTTGTTTGCTCCACCAGGAAGCCGAGTTCATGGGCTTAGAAGTGGCTTCTCCCACTGAGCGGAACACTCTCTTGCATTCCTGGGAGGAATATTATTGGTTACTTTAATTAGCTGGTAGTATTGTGCTTCCCACCTGGGTGTTCTTTATAGCTTTTCATTATGGAGGAGCCTGGCAGTTGCGAATGTTTACATGTGTCTTGGCAGGTTTTTATACCGTGCGTCGCAGCAAAAACTTTACAATAAACCATTGTCTCCACGGAGCCACACTTCATTTCCTATTCAAATTGGTTTGGGGAGGGGTAGGGACGTGGGGGGGAGAATCGTAGCTAAGGGGGATTTCAGACCTGCTGTGAGCCAGGGAGCAAATGCAGAGCTGCGTTAGTGGCTGTGAACTCATCTGTAGCTTTGAACCCCCCTTCCCCCTCTGTTAGCCCTCTGGGGTAGAAATCTTTCAAGTTTAAAATCTTCCTCTCTGCCTAAAGGGAAAGCAAGACCCTGGTCGCTGGGAGGAGAGCAGGCGAACAGAAAGGTTGGTGGTGCTGGAGCAGAAGAGGCAGGTGCTCATTTGTCTCAAGGCAGTACGGGGCCATCAAATTAATTTTTAAAATAAATCAAGCAAGCGTTTATCTCCCTGTAGCACTGACTCTCCCCTCTGAGGCCTCCTGTTAAAGCACACGTTCGCTGACCTAAAGCTACCATCCCTTGACTCCTGTTAGTTGTACTTAACCCCCCACACTTGTAAATGTTCCCTCTCTATAGCAGCTGCTCCCTGTAACACTCAAACTCTCGTCTCCCCAGGGGAGGATGTTTAGCTGCATGTTTTATATGCAGGGTTTGATGCTGCAGAGGGAGCTGCCTGCGTCGTGGCTGTGATTCAGAAGCTTTTCTCCAAGGAGGTGGTTTGCTCTTTATGTATAAAATAGCCTTGTAAGTCTCCTGCTGAGAAAGTGTTGGCACCAAATGGACAGCAAGAGCCCTTGGGATAACATAAAAGCTCTGTTTGCCACCTTTGTATTACATTATCAAATACCTTTCCCAATCCGAACAGATGACTAAAATAATTGGCTTTTATATCTCCTCTTAAACGTGGAGGTCTCAAACTGCCTTACAAACGATTAGCTGATTAACCCTCGGCTGTTCAGAGGTTGGGAGCAGAGAGGTGAAGTGACTCTGCTCCGAGGTCGCTCCAAGTCAGGAGTCCCCACTTGGAGCCCTCTTCTCCCCAGCGCGTTTCCATGAGCTGGGGGTGAAACAAAGGATTTTTGCTGCAAATCTCCATATGCGTGCCTAGCGTTCTCATCCCTCTTCAATGGGAGACTTGTCCCATCACCAGCTTGGTGATTTCTCAGAGCAGGGGGAAGTTTATGTGTCTGTTGAGAGGTGTGGTGACCTGTCTGTAGTGAGCGAGGAGTGCAGCTCCTGAGCCGTGTGTCACCTTGAATAACTTCGTTTTTCTTTGCCTGGTTGCAAGTCTTCCATTTTACAGCTGGAGCATTGTAGCCATAAGACATGTCGAGAGCCCTGCAGGCGTCCCGGGTTGGATCCTGAGCAGCAGTAGCAGCACAGGATGCTAAAGTATCCCCTTGATCAAAAGGTACTGACTATCCTGGCTAGGAAGAGTTAATGTTTTAATATGGCCACCCGTCATGATTCTAGATTAATGCTGGTTTAATTCCATTTAATGAGAATGTGTTTTACATGGAGCAGACAAGAGCTGCGCTCGCCTGAGATCAGCTGGCCAGAGCTGGCAGGCTGACTGTGTGACGTTCGTGTGGTGTTGGAGGAGAGCAGGGGTCAGTGGACCAGCAGAAAGTCTGTGTGTATACAAAATAGCTAAATGAGAGAGAGAAAACAATTGGCTTAATTGTTTGGCTTCCAGCAAGCTTATAATAACGTGCTGAGGAGGAATCCTTTTCCTGGATAATTTTTCTGCCTGCAATCTTTCCAAACACCCCCCGCCAGCCCCGGATGAGAAGCTATTAACCACCAAGGAAGCAAAGGGTGGTGGCGGGGGGAGATGTTGGCAGAGGAAAGGAAAAAGGATTCGTGGACAAGGATTGTTTCTAGCGAGCACCAGGGACGGACATGTCATGCGTGGTGGCATATGCCTGCATTTTTGAGAAGTGATTGGCTTATGTGGCCAGCTTGTCGTCAAGAAATGCCTTTTGCTGTCAGTTTGAAGAGATACCTCCTGTATTGATTGAAAGGGCACGTGCCCCTGAATATTATTTTCTTTCCAAACTTCACTTTTTCTGCTTGTTGTCAGGCTTTGTGTCTTTCTGTTGCTGTCCTCTCTGCTTTCTACCCAGTCTCTGCTGTGGCAGAGTGGAGGAAAGCTGCCTCCTCTGGGTTATAACCCAGCCCCTTCTCTTTCTGTGTGCTTCATCTTAATTCCTCTTTCTCTCTCACCTTCTCTTTTACCTTCTGTAGTGCATTGTGATTAGAATATATATAAGATGGCCCTGGAAAGTGTCTTCACCACGCTGTAAATTCGTAGTGGGGTTGTATTTGTCCCGAGAAGTTGATGGCTCATCTGCGTGTTGTGTGCACATCGTTCCTCTTCAGGACCACTGCATGAGCTCTGCTTTTTGAATGGGTTTATGGAGCACTTGCCACTTCTTAAATCAGCCATGTAAAAGAAGTTTTTCTCCCTTGGAGCAGCATCACAGTGACACATGGAACGGGCAGGGTGGTGTGCCAGATGTGAAGGGTACGTCGTGATAGACCGCACGATGAATGAGAGTGCTTCTGTGGGCAGAGTCCTGGTGCCACAATTGGGACTTCTTTCCCAGTGCCTCGAAATGCCCATGACATTGTACTTTTAAATCTTAATATTTGTAGGTATTTTTAAAAAGCTGCTTTAGGTAATTTTTAAAGGATTTTCCGTCTCCCTCTGAGTTGGACTAGTGGTAACTAAGGCAGCTGGCTTTACAGAGGGAGAAGATTAAAAAATAGTCCTGGTTTAAAGACTAAAATGAAAGCAAAGCCCTCTAAAACAACCCTTGTGTTTTCACTTGTTACAGAAACTTTCCAGTAGTCCTGCAGAAAGTAGAAACTAGGTCAGATAGAAGAATGCAGCTAGAATTGCATGGGTGTGCAGAAACGAAGTTGGAAGATCCAGATACAAAATAATGCAATTAGCAAGGAGTGTGGAAGCTGGTGAGATGCGATTCTGTGAGTCCAGAAAGCCGTTAGCCCATGCTAACTATGGGAGTGCTTGGGGAAGGCTCAGCGGCAGA